CTTCCGTGGGGGATCCTGCCGAAGCCTGTCCCACCGGCTCCGGGTCCTGCCCGGCCTCCGGAGCTGTCTGGTCTTCGCCCTCGAGCCCGGTGGCCCTAGTTTTGTGTCCCTCTTCCGGACCACCCTGCTTTAGGTTTTGGACTTTTGTGGGGTTTTTTTTAGGGACGTCTGGAATCCGTCCCTTGAGTGGGGGGGTTCTGTCAGGATTCTCATGTTATGTCACGTTTGTAGTTTTGTATGTCTGGTTATGGGTGTTTTCCTCCTTGTATATTGTCTGGTCCTTCTTCCTGTGTTTTTCCTCCCTGTCGTTAGTTTCCCTGGTGTGTCTAATTGTCTGATTGTGTTCACCTGTCGCCCTTGTGTTTCTCCTCCCCTGCCTGGCTGTTTCTCGTCTTGTGATTACCCCTCCCTGTATTTAGTCTTGTCTCTTCCTGTGTTCAGTGTTGGTTTGTCTTTTGTTGGTGACTGTGGTCACTGGGGAGTGTTCCGTTTGTCTATATTATCCTTGAAATAAAGGCATTTTCAGCGTTATCTGCCTTTGGGTCCTGCTTGCTTCACTCACCGTAACACATATGACACATGTTGGTAGGACCTGTGATGCATTATACAGTGTGTGATAGTGATTAGTGCTGCATCAGGCAGAGTGACGGAGTACCTGGCCAGCTGGAAGCGCAGCGAGGTTCGGGGGTGGTACATCTCCAGCTGAGCCACCAGCTCAAAGGCAGACGGAGCGATCATCGTGATGAGAGACACCACCACACTCACCTGGAGGGAGGGGGAGCATGAAGACACAGAGGCACATCTCAACTGAAAAGTGATTATACAATATACAGATGCTCTGCCTCTCAGCAAAGATCTTCATTTATCAGGCTCAGTCGTCTCTTGGTGAGACAAAATATTTCATCTCAGCACTTACTATGTCAGAATAAATGATGATTATATGCTGTTTGTTAATTTTTGTATGTCCTATTCTACCACTAAGTCATTTTTATTTCATTTCTAAATAAATATCTTTGAGGCATAAAACTTTGTTAAAAGAAAGTACATTTAAATTATGAATAACTAGGAGATACATTTACATTGCCATATATAATGAAATTAGAATGACCACCTTGCTGTCACAGGAAAGCAAACCATCCATATCTGTCCAAAAGGCCAACACTAAGAAATGTATGAGAAATCATAATATAACTTTTTTAGTTATGGCCAAAAAACACATGTTTTTTGAGGTCACATAGACCTTGACCTTTGATTGCACATTTAATTAGATATTTCATGTGTCCAGTAGGACTTTGTGCATATCTAAAGAAATTCCCTCCATGTGTTCCTGATATAGGAGGACAGATGGACAGACATGATACAGCTGTCACTGGCTCAGAGCTATAATAACACATGTTTAATATTGAAATATTCAATTAGACCAATCAGACATTGATTATTTTGCCACCATGATTACAATGCCTGACTTATGTACAATAAGAGATGATGGAAATACGAGTCACTGACACTGGATCAGTGTCCACTTGTATTGATTCCTCTGTATTGTATGTTGAATAATATAATCAGACTGATGGTAATGAGAAGATGTCCGCTCTGCTCTTCTACCTCGTTCTTCTCCCACAGCGTCAGCTCCGGCTTCTCCTGCTCCAGTTTCTGAGAGCGGTCCACCACAAAGTAGATGATGTAGATGCTGCCGGCCAGAGACAGAAGGACCAGGATGTTGGCGAGGATCCGCAGACTGATCAGAACTGCCCTGAGGAAAGACGCACACACACTTTGATCAGGGAAGGAGCACATGTTTTCTCTTCAGACATCTGCAAGTTCACGTCATTTCTAAAATGTTTTATATTATATATTTTCTGCCACTGCTACCCTCTGTTCATATAGCCTTTCAAAAGCCCCAGCATGCATTATCAGATATGGAAGAAGTACTCAGATATTTTACTTACTTACAAGTAATAATACCTCAAAGTACCCACTAATCGGAAAAGCCATTTTTGGAATTATTTATATTGTATCAAAGGGTTATATTTATTGATTAATTAATTTGTACATCATTTGCTGCAAAAAATATAAATACTCAGGTAAATGAAAAATGCACTCTCCTCTACTGTCTATGTGAGCTGAGTTATAGGATAAATAATATTTTTACAGCCGTATTTCAGAGTGGAAGATGACATTTAACGTGATATCTGAGGTATGCAGGGAGATACAGGACACATGCGTATTTAATTTTAATATCTTCTGTCATCTCATATTAGTGATTTACTGTCAGTTCAGGATGAGTGCACATCGCTGTGTATCAACTGAAGAGCAACACAGGGTGCTGTAAATCAACTGGGTTAGAGAATGATTCAAAGGGTTATCCAAAAAGGAGAAGAACAAGAAGAAGAACAAACAAGTTAGAAAGACACCTACAGACTGGTATCCTTCTTCTTTTCCTGCTCCTCAACAATGGCTTCCTGTGAATAAAAACCAAGTATTACACTGTGACAGCCCCCTGTTAATAGCATGAGTTCACAGCAATCAATCTCAACATGTTCTGTGAATTGAAAGTGCTAGATACACGAAGACAGAACAGAAAAAAAAAAATGCTTTCGCTTGGAAAGTGAATGCAGATGTATGTAAGTCTAACTGGATGTTCACTATGTGTCCAAGTGTCTCTGACCCGGATGTTGTTGACGATGGCGGCTCCTTTGCTCTCTGCAGCCTCAGGGTTCCCGATCAGGTAGTCCCAGGCACAGAACACCCTCCAGCAGAACGTGAAGTTCTCATCGGAGGCGCTGGCCAGGCTCATACGAGAGTTCTTAGCCATTCTGAAGGAGGATTCAATAATCAGAGCACATTAGCAAACCATACAATATATTAAAACAAATGTAGAATGGTAATGCTAGTTAGGTGACCAAAGAGTTGATCAGTCGAACTTCAGTTCAGCTTTGGCCTTCACAACAATTATGAAGTTATCATTCCTACATATTTTGTTCTATTTAGTTTCTTATAACTCACTGGTTTTACTGATATTAAGCCTTGCCGTTTTGCATTGTCCCACTGATTGACAGGTAGGTGTTGCTACAGTATCTGCTCAGCTGCGTGATCTGGCCCCGCTTTAACTCCAGCATTGATACCCATTTTTTTAGATAGATTGGGAACCAAGATGGCTACAGATAGAGAGACACCTTTGAGCTTTACAATTGCTCATCATTAAAATAAAATATGATGTCACAGAGACCACAGACTGTGGTTGCCACACAACTGATTGGTTTCAGGCACTCATTCATTTATTCAGTTTTAAATGGTGCAGTGGCTTCTCATTAGTTTTAGTTTTTTTGTCCTCAACTTCAGGCAAACCATTACAGTATCACATTATCCTTGTCCCGTCAGCATGATTTTAATTTGTGTAATGATTACTTTCTTAACAGGACGATGAAACTGTAGGCAAAGACCGCCATCCCAACCAGGAAGTAGGCGAGGGGCAACCGGTACCCCGCACTGCCAATCTTCCTCAGTCTGCCATAGTAACCATAGAATAACACGGAGTACTGCAGGTAGCCCTGTTGAGATCAAACACACACAACACACATTCACAGCAGATTATTATTATTATTATTATATTATCATGTATTATAAGATGCACACGCACAGGTCCAGCTCAGGGTATTGCATAAACTACACACCCAAACGTCATTACCTTACAACTACTTTTAGAAAACTAAAAGAGTAGAACACACCACCCCCGTTCTCAGAGCTCTGCATTGGCTTCCAAAAACATAAGAATACATTTCCAAATTTTACTTTTAACTTGTAAAGTGCTAAATGGACTGGGACCACCATACATGTCAGACATGCAGCTTTGTTACGAGCCACCCAGATCTCTCATATCTTTGGAAGTGGATTTACTCAGCTTTTAGCTTCTATGCTCCGCAGAAATAAACTTCCTGAACATCTGAGGTCTGCCCAAACCCTGAGTTCTTTTAAATCCAGGTTGAAACCCTTTCTCTTTAATGCTGCTTTTCCACAGATCATCTAACTATGGTTGATATGTTTTATCATTGCACTTCAGCACTTCTTGCTGCATTTTCTGTATTTACAATGTCTATTTGTAATGCTTATGTGATGCACTTTAAATTGCCTTTGTGTATGAAATGTGCTTCATAAATAAATGAACGTTAAACTTAACCTGCACTTGATATTTATGGTGTGCAGAAGATGAATTCTAATGTTTTAGGCGACTCCATGATCTTTCCTCCAACACCTCGATCACAAAAGCAGATTGCCTTATCAAACATGATATACTTTATATAAACCTGAATTCAATTAAATTGGTATTTCTATTAAGTAGGCCCTCACAGCATTATGGAACAAAGCTCTGCCTGAATTCATATCAGGAAAGCTATTGAGGGCTGCTCTTTCAGAAAATGCGACTGCAAAGCTGCCAATGCACAGGAAACATTTTATTCACTTAAACATAAATGTGTACAGCCCAGTTCACGATTCTAGGTGTGTAACTTCTGGAAGGTGGTGGTGGCCTTGGAGTGGAGGTCAGGGAGGCATTAAAGTAATGTTTGAATAATGCTCCATTGTGTCTGTAAGTAATGTGCTATTGACAGAACAGTAAAAGGAAAGGGAGACTCACCCCGAGAGACCAGATGGTGTCCAGGTCTTGGGCTGAAGCCAGATGCTCCTTGGGGATAGTTTTACTCCTCGTTGTTCCAAACGGAGCTCCAGCCAGCAGCTAGTACAACAAAATACAGAACAAGTCTAAGTATTAATGCAAATATACATCAAATATATTTTATACAGCAATGGGCAGTGCTAAAAGCTTAAACATATTCACGTAATTCCTTCAATTATTTTACATAATTTGCATTAATTCACTTTGGTGTGAATCAATAAATACTTTACATTAGTTTTTTGTTTTTTTATGTGTGATTTCAAATAACTGTTGCATTGGTTTTTCCTTGTGTTGTGTGGTTTTAACATGATGTTGCATGATGTTGTTTACATTTGAGACTGTGATTAGAGGATGTAAAACAGCTGTGATTACCTGGACACACCCCCACAGCACACTCTCCTAACAGCGCTCTTATTATTGTGAGACTCCCGGAGGCAGACCATAGGGGCAGACGCAACATCTTGCTACTGTAGAAACAGCGTCTCAAGGCTTCTTAACATTTAACAACCTATTAATGATGCATACCCACTTAACGGGAAAAACTCAACTAACAGACGATATTATTAACCATTTTACCTACACGGAACAGAAGTCCAACACCAAGAGTCTAAATCAACACAAGCAAAAAGGGCTAACGGAGCTAACAGGGCAAACGGCTACTTTAGCACATAACTAGCAAAAGCGATCTCTTCTACGTAATTGTATCTGCACAAACAACATATCACATGAAAGCTGATTCCATTGGTGTAAGTCTCATCACTGTACGACCAAAATTCACTGAACTAGCAGCCAGGAAAGAGCAAGAAAACATATTCACTTTACGTAGCTATGATGATAGTTATGTCTTACCTTTGCTGTTTTGTGATCAAAAGTTGTGTTAAAGGGCATAAAAACAGTTAATCCAATGTCTCTGTGTAACTTTAAAATTATTACTGATAATCCATCATTACAATTATAAATAATAAACGGATTATAATTGTTAGCCGACCGGAGCTTCCGGTTTAGGAGGTGCGCAGGCAGCGTCTCGTTTTAAGTTTTAACCTATGGTTTTAACTGAATAATGGTCATGTTTAACATGGATTTATGAACTGCCCCTAATTACCACTCCCCTTCCAGAGACACACTGTCAAACACACTCATACCTGCTTGGTACAGTATGACATTGAAAAAGTTACATTAAATAATAAATACAAACAAATTACAATAAAATGAATGTTGTTTAATCTTCACATCTTTTAATCATGTCTATAATTTGAGCTCCAAATTATTGAAAAGTATCGATAAGAGTATCGAAAAATACCGGTATCGATAAAATCCTAACGATACCCATCCCTATTGGCCAATAATGCAAAATGTCTGCTTTGTGGGACAGGAGAAACGCGGAAGATGAGGACAGAGGAAGGAGGACAAAGGAAGCAGAGGAGTATAACGCAACACAGTTGGAACCACTGGACAGGGGAAGGTCCTTGTGAGGACGTGAAAACGGAAGGGAAAGACAACCAGGAACACAGAAAAACTTTGTTTGAATACAGATAAGTAAAAAGAATGTGATCCTATGCTAAATGAGTGTTAGCGTTTTACCTTAATAAAACGTTGAAATAGTGGCGTGTGGTTCTGTTGGCTTTCCATAGAGAACAGCGCCACTATATTAGTAGAACATTATTTGAACAATTTGATTGCTTTATTTAAATATTTGTACTCTTGCTATTGCCATTTTAAAGACGGTCTTAATCTCGAGAACTTTACCGAATTTGAGTATTTTAGTCATTTTGTTTTATTACGTTTTATTCTTACATTGTTTTTTTGTTTTTTTACCAAATATTTAAAAAAAGATATTTTGGTTGTCGTTTTCTTTTGGAATAAATTACTTTAAATCTTTTAGTTTGTGCTCTATTATTTGACGGTGGAAATTGTTATTTCTGGCATAAAATAAGAACCCAGCTTTTTTGTGTTACATACATACATTGTGCATGTAGCTTATACTAATATAATCATTCAACAATTAGATTTCCTTATAAGACAGAGATGAGAAGATCGATTTTACAAAGGTCTATTTGTTAAAGGGATATGCTATGCTAATCTAGGCAAACAAAATCCTTACTCCAGCTCTGTTCCCAAAGGGAAATGATATCAGAACTGGAGAGTATTTCTTCTTAAAGGAAAAGCAAAGGACCGCAGTGGAGGCTTTTTTCTCAATTGAAAATGTTTGTTCTTGTCTTGCTTCCCATGATAGACGTGATATCTTCAGTAGGTGTTTTCTTCCAAAATGTGTGGTATACATTAAGAATATTTTTAGAGCTATATCTTGTCGTCAGTCAACACTTTCCAACAACAACATTGCACAACAGTGTGGTCTGTTGACCACCGTTTACTCTAGGAAATACAATGACTACAGAAAAGTGACTCATACAACCCCACTTCAAAGATCCAAACTACCTCTTTAAGTGCAGAGCTTTGCTCCTGCAAGGTTAGCCTAGCTTAGCATTATACTGGAAGCAGGGGGAAATGGCTAGTTTAGCAAAACCTCTAGTTACCTTATTATTGTGATGTATTGTATTTTTCTGTAGCAAAATGTATCAACAGTTTTAGAGTTAAAAGGAAACAAACTTACGGAAATAAAAAGTGAGCTACAACCAAGGTCACCCTCCATTCCACCATTGATCACATCATTTAAAGAATGAAACAAACGCAGACATCCAATCTGATGTGGGATGAGATTACTCAGTAAGCAGAGGTGAGATAAAGGAGGGATAGGGTCGGGAGCAATAGTAGGAGTGTCCCAACAAATTGGGGGAGGGTGTAAGAACTAAACAGGGGAATAAGAAAAGGCATTCAGAATGATAGGAAGAGTTATGGGTGGGGAAATTGCTTGTGTCCGCAGCCTGCTGTTTGTATTTGAACTGGTTGAGCTGAAGCTGCTGCAGAATCAGCAGATACACACTCATACTGTGCCAGGAGCCATCAGACTTCACCATCAGGGTTAACCATGAAACCCAGGTGAAAACAAACCTGCATTGTATATTAATGAGATTTGCACTGTATGACTTTTACTCACACCCTCACACTCGAAGCTGGACACATATCTTCACATATATGTATATATGTACATAAAGCTGATCAATATGTACATTCAGCTGATCAGTATATATGTAGGCTACATTCAGCTGCGCATTGTTTTACTTTATGTTGTTATTTTAATCCATACTGTTAATCACAGGATTAACTCTTGTTGTTAGTCTTCTTAATATCCTAGGGTGAACTCTTATCTGTATTGTCCTGTGTTTCACTCTTATTCTGTTGCTGCACCTGCATTTCTGGGGTATATCTTGTCTTATCTTATCATTAAAGGTGGGGTAGGTCATTTTGGAGAAACCAGCTTGAGTGCGCTAGAATTTGAAAATACACAGCCGGAAAAAATCTGCCACTTCCTTACAGAGCCCCTCCTCCAACACACACGAAAGCGCACATGACCAATGAGGGCACGAGATAAGTTTGTGCACAGGTGGAAGGCTGACAGGCAGGTAGGCCATCCAGTTATTTTAGCCGGGCCGGCTCAGATGATTGGTCGTGCTTTTTACAGTACTACGGCTTCCACAGATTAGATTTTTTTATGGATTTTTTGTCAAAGCACTTCAGATATTCATTGCTATCGGGATGTTAAGAGCATTCCATGGAATATAACAAAAAGTGTATCTCGAGCCGGTTTCTCAAACTTACATACCCCACCTTTAATCTGTATGAAAAATCTTTACGAATGAAACCCTCAAAAAGATTGAACCAGAAAGTTCTACTATTTTAAATCAAATGGGATCAAACAGGAGTGTGTGTGTTTAGTCAGCACTTGAGATGAACACTTATGACACTATTTTTTGTATCAAATGTCTTTGACATATGAAGACATTTTAATGAGCTAGATTTGAATCCTGGTAAGTGGCAGGTGTTTAAGTCGTTCATTAAGCAGACTGAAACCTAACCTCTATAAAGTTTTATGGAGATTTCAGTTTATTTCTTCCTTTTTATGTACTGACTTGAATGTAACATGTGATAACATATGTTACACTACACTCTATAGTAGGGCTTTCTGTAAAAAACGTCAACATATCTGGCCTCATGATGCTTTCGCTTGATAACCAGGCAACATCAGATACTCAATAATATGGAATTGTCATTCGGTGGAGGGGTTTAAATCAGAGACTCACTGACCTCTGGCAGCACGATGAAGGCTCCAGTCATGATGGTGAGGACGATGTTGATCCCGAACAGCCAGCGGAGGAAGATGAAGTAGGAGGCCACGCCCGACCCAAAGTGACCTGAACAGGAAGGAGGAGACATACGTTAGACAGGTTTCATACTACTCAGTGATGTAGTGCTACACAACCCAAATGTATCTTTTTATATGTACCTTATGTACACAATGTAGGATGGATAACTGTCATGAACATAAGTACAATTGTCCGTCAACTGCCAGCACATGCCTGGATATGACTTTACTTTACAGATATTAAACAAAATAAATGTTAGCATTTCGGTCATGATTCAGTGACAGAATTACTTTAGATGAAATTATCAGAACAAAGTGGTGACTCACTTTCGATTTTCTTAATCCTAACTTCCCAGGGAATGAACAGAACCAAAATGTTGTAAAGTACACGTGAAAGTTTCTTCAGGAGCTGCAGGAGGAGAAAGAGAAATTATTTAAAAAAATGTGTAACCTCTAAAATAATGTTGTTGAGTTCAGTATATTCATCTGTAATGCCATATAGAAACACCTCCTTTCGTCACTATAGTGTTGCATCTGAGGCTGGATCAATGTCAGGTTGATAAATGTTCATATTTGATCAGTTTGGATGACAGAAAACAGTTTCTTATAATGGTGATAATACATTGATTTATAGTGCTTTCAAGAGAACACTGAACTTTCACATGAAAAACTACAGGATTGAAGACCCAGAAAACTGAAACTGAAGTCGAGTGCATAATTCAGCAGGACATTAGATCACATCTGTTCTGTGAAGCGTATCTGATAATAAAATAATATGAGCATGCAGCACTGCTAAAAGCCTTGTTGACAGAGATTAATAAAAAAAGATGTTCACATGTGTCTCTGTAGTGCTGGGTTATGTCTTCCTTGTTACCAGTCATAGGTTGTTATTACTCTGGTTATCCAGACCCTCCGCTGTGTGTCGGGATCCATGATCACCGTCGGGTGTTCTTTTTCCATTAATGATCGCCTTGTTGCACATTATCCCTTATAACTTTGTAACAAATCCACCCAAACACATAATTTGCCATTGCCTTTCAAAATAAAAAACAAGCACGTATGCATTTTCTAGGCTGGTCCTACTGTATCAGTGAGATGAATCCTGAAATGGATACCAATATAGAACCATTCACGTGACAGGTTTAGAGCAGTGATTTTCAACCATAAGAGTCTGTGCCGTAAGAGACTGTCAGGTGTATTGTTTGAAATTGTCCTATTTCACTTAATCGGCTCAAAAAATATTATTTAGTTGCTGCAAATACAATCCAACAGTGCTATTATCCAACAACACATTCTCACTCCCAACTCGTACTATAGTGACGTTATGTCAGGATCCCTTGGCGTCACCATCAAACGCAGTGGGGGGGTCCTTTAGCGTCAATCTTCAACTATCAGGGCGTCCCATTGACTTGCATAGAGCTCCCTGAACGTTGGTAATAGACGAGTTGAGATCACGGAGAAATGCTCTCCGCAGATCCATTCTCACAGCGTTTATCAACCATTTTCTTACTCAATATCAAGCCACGCTTTTTGTTTTTACTTCTTTATTTTAATTGAATAATGTAGGACTGGTGTTGCCGTCAGCTTGGGGGAAAGTAGGGGCTCAGAAAACTGAAATCTGTTTTGTTTCATCGTTTTTTCCTTCTCATTTTGTATTCTTTTCTAAACCACACACTGATATCTACTCAACAATAAGACACAATTATCCTTGTGTTTATTTATTTGTTTGATTGTAAAATGTCTGACTTTTGGAGTCCGTCAGGTCCGAACAGTCGGAGCAGCTCATTCGAACACAGGAAGCTGTATTTTCAAAATAAGAGTTTATTTTAATATTATGTTTGATAATATATTTGTTATTAACTAGTCCACTGGGTCATGTTAAGAGCATCTTTTCTGTCGGTTTGGTTTTACAAATATCAAAACAACATATGTGTGGATAACAAAATACACCCATCATAAACTAAAATGGAAACAGTATATTTTATTGTGTTGAAGGTGTAGAACAGGGGTCGGCAACCTTTTTGATATGAAGTGCCATTTAAAAAAAAAATGTTTATCAGCGTGCCAACGATCGATAATTATCAACCGGGG